AAGAATTATATACCCAGCAAAATTTTCCCTCAAATATGAGGGTGAAATTAGGAGATTTCCAGATAAGCAGAAATTAAAGTAATTTATTAAAACCAGACCAATGTCACAAGAGTTATAGAAGTATCCAAAAAGAGGGAACAAGAGACATCAATTGATAAATAAGGACAGATAAAAGCCAAAAAGAGGGGATAAATAGTGTAGTTACAGAACTTCTGAATGGTGAGGAAATCAAGACAATTGCAAGATAGAACATAATGTTTTAAAATTGGAAAGAAAATAATAAATCACAGGGTAACCTTATAGAAAAATAATAAACCTTCACATCAAAATAAAAAAGAAGACAAGCACAAATATTTAGCAAATACTAAAACAATAGCAATGAAGGAGATGATAAAATGATTCATAAACAAAATGAGGTCAACACAGAAAGTTATATGGAAAAAGGAAATCAACAACATCATGAAAAACAAAATGATGTCCATAAATTCATACTTCTCAATAAGTTCACTGCTGTCAGTGGATTTAATTCATCCCTGAAGAGATGGAGATTGCAGACTGGATAAGAAAACATGACCCTTGAATATGCTGTCTATAAGAGACTCACCTTAGACACAAAGACAGAAATAGACTAAAAATCCAAGGTTAGATAAAGATATACTGAGAAAATAGCAACAGAAAGAGAGCAGGAGTGGCAGCATTAATGTCTGATAAAACAGAATTTAAGATAAAGTCTCCATAAAAGATGAAGAAGGACATTATACAATGATTAAAGGATCAATTGAATGAGAGAACATATCCATAATAAATAGCTACACATGCAATGAAATCCAAAATACATAAATCAGACTTTAATATAATTGAAAAGAAAAATAGATGACTCCCCAGTAATGGTAGGAGACTTTAATATATCACTTTCAATAAATGATAAAACAATTGAAAAGAAATTCAACTAAGATAGAGAAGAATTAAACAATATGATCAACCAACTTGACCTTATACATATCTACAAAGCACTTCACACAACAACAACAAAATGGACATTCTATTCCAGCACACATGGAATATTCTCCAGGATAGATCATATAGTAAGTCACAAAGCAAGCCTCAATAAATTTATAAACATTCAAATACTGCAAAACATTCTATAAAACTAGAAATCAACACTAGGAAGACTAACAGAAAAAGAGAAAATGCATAGAAACTGAATGACACCCTTCTCAAAAATGACTGAGTAATAGAAGAAATAAAAAATGAAATGAAAATATCTCTTGAGTCAAATGAGAATAAAAACAGAACATACCAAAATCTTTGGAACACAGCAAAAGTAGTGATCCAGAAGGCAATTTATAGCAATAAATGCACACATCAAAAAAGAAGAAAGAGCCAAAATAAGAACCTTAACCCAACATCTCCAAAAATTAGAAAAAAAAAAAAATAGCATCAAAAAAGAAATAATAAAGGTTTGAGCAGAAGTAAATGAAACAGAAAAGAAAGACAGTAGAAATACTCAACAAGACTAGAAGTGGGTTCTTTGAAAAGATTAATAAAATAAAAAAACACTGGCAAACTTAACAAAGGGAAATAAAGAGAACATGCAGATAACACAAATAGAAAATGAAATAAGTGACATCACGACAGAACCAAAAGATATAAAAAGAATAATATAGTATATTATGAAGAACTGTACTCCAACAAATTTGAAAACCTAGAAGAAATGGACAGAGTTCTAGAAACATACTACTTACATAAACTAACACAAACTGTGGTGGAAAATTGGGATAGACTCATAAAAAATGAAGAAATTGAACAGGTCTTAAAAAAATTACCAACAAAACAATGTTGGCCAAACACATGTAAAATGTCTTCAATGTCCCTGAGGACCTATGAGGAAGGTTTTTTGTTGGTGAATATCTTGTTGTTTATTGTTTCACCACAATGAAATAAAAAAAAAAAAAGAAAAAAGTTCTAGCCCAGATGTTTTCACTGAAGATACCAGCAATCATTTAGAGAAGAACTGATTCCAATACTACTCAAACTATTCCAGAATGTGAAAAAGGATGGAATCCTCCCAAATTCATTTTATGAAGCAAGCATAACCCTGATACCAAATATGGGCAAAGAAATCACTCTCAAGGGAAACTA